AGGGAAAGGGCTTGCCCCCACCCCTTCCTCACTCTCTCATCATCCCCTCAAAGCCACATGAGTAAACACACAGTCAGTCCCAGAAGGATGCCTGCCATGCAAATGCAGCCTAAGACACCTTCTCTGGCTTCCAGCTAACATATATGTTATGCTAAATGTCAATATGTAGTTTTATCATTTACATGTAAGTAAACATGCACGAGTTGTAATTACATATTTCTATTGAGGGCACCGTTGAAGAGGCACTGTGCATGTTCGTGCTTCCGTATTGAAGGTAGCATATTTGACTCCAGTTCTCCATGAGTTGTTGCCCTTAGTCACGGAGAAACGTCCCTTTGTAAACATAAAGGCTTACATGGGTGCCAGGTGTTGTGTGAGGGGAGGTGCCTGGGATGGCAGACGGCACAGGAGGGGTCTGCATGCACACTCCCGGTTGTGGTCGTGTGGTTGGGGATGGAGCTGAATGGCCTTTCCCCTGGGCCTCCCAGAAATGCCGCTATTCCAATGCAAGCGGGAGAGATTCCATTTCTAATTCTTCAGCTCTCCCCACCTAACGCTGCGGGAAGGTTCCTGATGACATATACCTTCACAGGTTTACATCACACCTGCATATTGAACATGTCCTGGGACTTAACCATTTTAAGAACTAAGCAAATATGATACATTAATCTCATTAATTACTTTAAGAGGTTATTACTATTCCATTATAGAGAAATTGTAGGGCTATGGAGACTCAACTGCTTGAGTATTTGGTTCATGACACAAGTCGCCTCCCCTCTCAACTCAGCTATCCAGGCCCCATTGAAATGTGCTTGCTTGGGATGTCCCCTGGGCACTGGACCTGCCTGTTCCTTCTCCACGTGCCTAGGACTCTCCGGGCTCTTACACAATCCTATATAATAAAGAGCTAACGTGCTAATTAGACCAGGTGGCAGAACGACCTTCCAGAATGACCAGTGGGCGGGGGGCAGGGCGGAGAGGCAGCCGAGGCTGCCAGGGCCAAGCCCCTTGCAAGAATTTCGTGCATCGGGCCTCTAGTTTAATAATAATGTAGTTATTTTCTGTTGTATATTTATTTACTTGGGAGCTCTAGGGGTTTTTTATTGGGATTATTTGCTATGCTAGAACAGGGATCAGCTTTATCCTTCTGTTTTGTCCTTCCCAGGGTCTAGCCATCCTCAGTCAATACAGTACTTTAAAGGGCCCTCAATAAATGCAGCTCTTTGAAGCAGAGGTCCTCAAGCTTTCTAAACAGGGGGCCAGTTCACTGTCCCTCAGACATTCCACACATGCGCACTGCGGGCCCAGGACGAGTCGGCTGCTAAGCAGGGCAGGCAGCAGCGGCAAAAACACCCGGCGGGCCGGATAAATGTTTTCCGCGGGCTGCACGTGGCCTGCGGGCCGTAGTTTGAGGGCGCCTGCTTTAAAGCAATGTACAACAGATCAGTCTGAAACCGCCATCTTTAGTCTCTGGGCTGGGGTATCTCCCCTTGGGTGGGGATGGGGGAAGGTGGTGAAGAGGACAGTGGCCAGGCTGGTAATGGGAGGCGTTGGGAACAGAGAGTCGCTGCTGGGTGGGAAGGAACAAGGGCACGCTTGGGCCAGCCCGCAGTGTTGCAGTCAGGGAACTATCGTGTCTCCAACCAGGCATGGCTGAGACTGCTTTTCCCTCTCGATGCCTTCACAGGGCCGGCGCCAAACTGGAGGGGAACGAAACACTCAAAGTTGTCGAACTCGACAGGAGAGTGAACGCCACCTTCTGAGAGGGGGTCTCCACCGCGCTCGCGCGCTCTCTCTCTCTCTCTCTCTCTCTCTCTCTCTCTCTCTCTCTCTCTCTCTCGGCTCTGCTTTTACTTCCCCAAACCACCTGTGTTATAAGCTTTTCCTTTTTCCCACCCAACACGGATGAAGACATGGACGAGCAGTGGAGCGGTCGTGGCTTTGGCCGGGAGGACAGCCTGCGATTTCCACCTGCGGTGAGAGCCCTCCCCCTGCAGCCCCGAGGCCTTCCCTGCAAAGGGAGCCCGATCTCTCCCTCCCTTTCGCTTCCTGCCTTAGGGAATTACATTAGGGTCAGGCTCTGGGACAAGTGGGCTTGTTTCTACCGATCGGATCGTGCTGCAAATCTACAGCCTGGCTCTCACCAGGGGTGTGACCACCTCTTTGAAGATGATGACTCTTATTCATTGGAGACCCCACACGCTGGCCATAAAGAGCCGAGGATGCCTGTTGGGATCTGGTGAAGCAGTGACTGATGTCCCACCTCCCTCAGCATGGTCTCCGGTGTGTCCGCCCATCAGCCCCGGAAGTGCCAGTGTGTCCAGTGAGCGCCCCGCCACTCTGCTCTGTCCAAGCCCTCCAGCCCTTGCCTGTGGTCCTCGCTCTGGGCCAGGGCCCCTCACATTCTCAGGCCGCAAGTGCAATGCCTGAAGGAATCAGGCTTCTCTACTCCAGGCGAACCTGCCCGTCTTGTTGCTTGTAGGACTTCTCCATAACCTGTGTTCCCTCACCCATAGATCCGCCTCCTGGCTTCTCCTCCCCGTTTGTAAATAGTATTTATTAGCTTGCGAGGCTTCCCGCTAGCAGCCGCTGAAGAGATCCTCCCGCCAAGCCTGCCGAGTCTTGGGTTGGACTTGGGCGCTAGGAGGGCAGCCTAGGCTCTGGGATTCCCAGTCCTCCAGGCCCTGTTCCAGTGCCTTTTCTTCTCTTTGTTCCTGGAGGCCTATCACTGTAGGTGGGAAATCATTGTAAGCATGTTCTCCCTAAGAATGAACTCGAGGAAAGATGGCTTACGCTTGTGATCTGTGGCCAGACGCTTTGTTGTCCTGTGCCCGGAACAGAGCAGGGAAGGCCTGTCCTGACCACAGGCGTGTCGGACAACCTTGCTAGCATGTCTCTCCACACCTGCTCCTGGCCCTCCTCCGCACCTCCCCCCACCCCCACTTTTACCGCCCACCCCCCCTTCTGCCTCAACACAGGGGTTGGGCCTGAGGTCTGCTCCGGGGGTCGGAGCAGGTGACATTGTTATCTACAGTCTTACCTTTTATAGTCAGGTTTGGCTACTTTGCAGCTCACCCAAAGAGACGTAACCCCCACAACCTACTTTATTATTATTTTTTTAATGATTAAAGTAACTTTTGTAGTTTTAAAAAAATCTCTCCTCTTTCATACAGATAAGACATGAAGTTGCCTGTTTATTGTATAATGTAGAAAGTTTGCCTTAAGTGTTTTCCCCTAGCTTGTAAAAGACTTGGCTTACATTTTGTATTTTTGTTTTTAGTAGAAACTGAAGGGCCTTTAGCTTTAATTCCTCTCTCGCCTCTCTCTCTCTCTCTCCCCCACACTGTCATTAGAACCTGTACTTAAGAGGATCAAGCCCACAGCTGGGCCTTTCCCCCATCCCGTACAGGATTTGGTGTCATTAACATTGGCCATCATATTTCGTAAGCAGATCTGTTTGTCTGTCCAGGTACATCTGGGGCTCACTGTCAGGGACTCCTGGGTGTCCCTACTATGACGGAGAGTGTTCCAGACCGGGGGGGTGGCCAAGTTCACCTTCTCCGCAGTGTGTGAATGCGGGGTCAGGACTGCAGTGGTCCTGGTGGCCCTGCCGGCCCTTCGCACAGTTCTCGCTGCCCTTTACACTGGCCAGGGAGGACCCTCTGGGCTGTGCCTCCGGCTCCAGCTTCTCTCTACTCCCTTCTCTCCTTTCCTTCTGCTCTGGATCCTCCGGGCCTGGCTGGTGTCTGATAACCGTGGCCCACCACCTACCCATCTCTCTCTGTAAAATGTTGTGTAATGATCAGGCATAGGTAGTCCGGGGGTGCCCAAGAAGGGGAAAAGGATTAACTCAAATAGTATTTGGATGATGCGAAAGGAAAGGTTCATAGTTAAGGGCAGAAGTGTGAGAATGGCTCAGCCTACCCACCTGTTGTACCAGCACCAAATGGGGTTTTTAAGGCTCCTAAACCAGCCAGCACGGGGCACCTGCTTGTGTGAGCGAGGAGGGGAAGGGGAAGGGGCAGCACACTGGGAGCCTGTTCTTAGAGCCTCGAGGATTTCATTCTCTCCCTTGCCCACTCCCCCTTGACATCACTCTCTCCAGTGCATAGGTCATGTGTCATAGAGATGTAACTTGAAACCTATGTGATCAGATTAACCAGTGTCACCCCAATAAATTTAATAAAAATAAATGCAAACAAATGGCTACCCACTCTGCCCAAACCTCTGTCCAGCAGGGCATTCTCTCTGAGAAACCGTTCTTCCGATGAGAATCTGTCACTAGAGACAGGGGACATCAGCTGAGAGCTCAAATGGCCACTTTAAGGGGTTCCCAGAACTAATATTGCTGTTGTGTTGAGAAAAACCTCTGCCCTCCACTTCCTGCTTTGGGGAGTAAAGGAGATGAACCATGCTTTTAGAAGGATGTAAAGGGGTCAGGAGACAAGAGGAGTTGGATAGTAGCAGATGGGTCCCAGACAATTCATGGATGTGCACATGTTGCTGTCCCGGGGTAAGCCCCGTTGTTTCCCCCACAGAGTGGTCCGCAGACCGGTCAGCCCTGGTGAGCCCTGGCGATTTCAAATAGTGGCAAGCGCTGGCTTCTGAATTTCAGTTTTGGGAAACACGACACTGTTAGCGCAACCATAAAGCACAGAGTAAACACCTCGCTTGTACAGATGTTAATTCTATTTCTCATCATGCAAGCAACTTTTCCGCTTCCCTTTCTGGGATTCCCCCATTGAAGGCGATTGTTACAAACGATCAGAGAACAAGTCCCTGTTTCCTGGATGAGACCCCAGTGACCCACACTCCCCAGCGTGCTTCTCGACTTTGCACTCAGAAACGGATACCGACAGTGAAAGGCCTCGGTGCGGTTTGGGAAGGAGTCCCCGTGAAGTGCTGGGACCCGGGGCCTCATGCACATGCAGTGCACGTCTCACAGCTGAACTGCGTTGCTCCTTCAGGGCATCAGGTGAAGTGAGGTTCGACCGCGGTGCAGGCACAGTGAGATGACCCGTTGGTTTATACCAATGGCTTTGATTTGGAGACTTGATTTGTGGATTGTATAAGCAGCTTTTACATCAAGTTATTTACCAGCCAAGTATAAATACCACATTTTTTAATTCCTAAAGCTCTCAGTATAGCCTGGATGCCAAAAGAGGGTGTTATTCTCATGTGCCCGTGGAATAGGAGTATTGATTGGTTCGTCTCTATTGAGGCAGTGAGTCGGAATCCAGAACTTTTCCCCCAAGTGTTTTATGATGAACTGTCAGCACTTCATGGCTCCTTCCTCCCATGTCCTCAGACCGAGCAAAACCACAAAGACCAGACCCGCCTCAGGGCCCGCTCCTCTGAGCACACCTGTCCCGTGGGCGTGCATTTGAGCACGCTGCACAAAGAGACATCCTGAGAGGAGGTGGACCGTCCACACTGGCCTTGCCGACGTGGGGAGGCTGGAGGTGGGGAGGAGGCTTGCAGCCTCCCCTGTCTGCCAGAAGGCACTCACTTGGTTCTGTTGAGCCCAGTCTTTGAGAACCTCTATTAGACACCAGCATGGCTGCTTGCAGGGCCTGCAGACAGTGTGACCGTTAGCAGGTGGTGCCCCAGTGACAGGCATTTTATTTGAATGCTTTTCAGTGGAGACAATTAGGAAACATATGATAGGATCCCCACCCCCCACCCGCATCTTCCCCCCCTCTCCCCACTGCTGCTCACGAGGGCAGTATAGGAGAGAGCAGGGGGCTGTGAAATGGGGGCAGTGAAGGAGCCAGAGACAGATTTTAGATCTTTCTTTTCTTTCTTTTCTTTCTTTCCTTTCATCATTCCTTCCCTCCTGAGGAACAGAGCTGGACGAGACCCTGGGGAGTGAGGGAGGCTAGGAAAGATCATTAATCAGTAGCTATTCAAACACACAAGTGCTAGGATTCTTATTCATTCTCTCTCTCTCTCTCTCTCTCTCTCTCTCTCTCTCTCTCTCTCTCTCTCTCTGTCTCTCTCTCTCATTCCTTCCTTGTCTTAAGACACTCATTTGTGCCTTACATGTGCCTTAGAGATGAGCCCAGGATTACTGAGGGCTCTCATCCTTGGGAGACTTTATTTATAGCCTTGTATATTAGGTTGAAGTGTGTGGGAGAGAAATAACTTTTTCTAAAGGCTCAAAAATGGTTTCCTAAAAGTGAGCAATAATAAGATTTGTACATCAGGAGAAAAGAGGCAGAGTTATGTCCATTAGAAAATCCCATTTTGTAGAGGTGCAATTATATCTAAAAATGGCCAGCTGGGATTAAAGGTATTATAAATCCACATAGCAGAACATTTTCTCGATGTGAAGGAACCTGGCCCATTTGGGGATTAATGTGTGATGCCTCCACGGCCAGAGGGTCAGCACTGAGCGCAGGCAAAGTCCACGTGTTGTCTCCTTTGGTCATTTTGGGCGGCCTAGACTTCAGGAATGCTTTCTTTTCTCTTGGATTCGAGAAGGAAGGGAAAAAAATATTTCTTGAGCACTTATTAAGTGCTGGGTGCTGTGCTAAATAAGCTTTAAGTCTTTTCATTTTATAGACAGAGTAAACAAGGGCAATTGGTTACTCTGAGCTGGATAAACAGCTGAGGGGTTTTGGAAGTGCAACAGTGTTAGCAGATTCTGTGATGTGAACACACTGTAAACATCTAAGTTCTCTTGGGCGGGATGCACAGCGCTGCTCGCTGTACCGCCCCGCTGAGCGAGTCCAGTTCCTTGCCCCATGCTGGCGCTGTCCTCCAGGTGGTCCTCGCCTGTCCTTTTCATCCAATCTTCTGCGAGTTCCAGCGCACGAGCTTGACAACCTAAAAACAAATAAAACGGGTTTCTCTGCTCCTGTCCTTTGTTCATCAGCTGGGAGAGAACAGGAACTTTGAGCACCATGGACCTACAATGCTTAGAAAATCTCTCTTTCAGGTAAAACGCTTTATGAGTCTGTGGAAGACACCAGCATTCTGACAAATTGTGCGTGACCCTTTTTAAACAACACTGACAGACCCTGAACTGTATAGCTTTCATGTCTGTACTGACAGCTGGGCTTGCCTCTCGTTTGTAACAGGTTGTGTAGACCAGCGGTGTTTAAGTCTAAAGACATTGCAAGTCTATTATCTGTTGTATCGTGCTGTTCTTTTCAATGACTTTTTATTCTTTATCATAGCGAAGCAGATACCAAAAATATAAATGCTTTGTAACTTGTACTTAGTTTGGGGGGAAAAAAAACACGAATTGAAATTGTTATGCTTTTGTATTTCCATTTCTTGCAAATAAAAATATTTTTTTTCTTAAGAAGTAAATTGTTGTCCAGTCTCTAAAACCCTGGTAATCTGGTTTTAAGAGCAATTATTTGGATGAACATGGATTTGCATATGTGTGCCTACCCATACTTTTCTGCTGATCTAGTTGAGCTGGAAGAAGCCTCGAACCAGCATTTTGAATGGGGTCGAGTGCTGAATCCAAGTCTCGGTTGGAGGCATATGGAGAAACGCAATTGTTTTCTCAGCCAGCCACAGGAGGAAAAACAGGATTCTCTAGAGATGTCTAGCCTGAGTGCTATTTCCGTTGTCGCCTCTTAGCTAGTCCCTCACCAGATTTCAGAACTCTGTGCATCAGAATATGCTTTCCCGGTTCAGATGCTTGAGAACGAGGGCGTGGACTGGAGCCAGAAGAGAAGGGCCCTTCATCACAGGAACTTGAAGAGGATGCCTGCCACAGATTCATGCTCCAGGAATTCTGATGAGATGGTTGGTAAAGGTCAGAGTACTCAAGCAAAATCATCTTCTCCCACTGCAATCTGTGCATTCAGGTTTAATCTCCGCTCAGAGGGAGTGGGGCTTCACCTGGCCTCAGGAAGAGCACCCAGCATGTTAGAGACCAAAGCCAGGGGCCGCGTGTACCTGGAAACAGCAGAAACACCAACAACATTTTTTTGTTTCTTAGCAGCATGCCTAAGCCTGCTTTGGGCTCCGGGTGTGTTCGTTGCCTCGCTGCCTTTCCCCTCTGAGCACTTTGACCTTCTCTTCTGTTCCTACACAGGGGCCTTTTCCTGCGGAGGCGTTGCAAGACGTCCATCTCATTCTTTCCTACATTGGGAGCCATTATGGAAGCCTCCCCCTTGTGCTGATATCTATCCAGTGATGTGTGGAGGGGGCAAATACTGCTAAATACTCCTTCTGTATTAGTCATGCCTTTACATTTTCTGTATTTCTATTGCTTTGGCATCTGGGGCCTTGCTGATCCAAGAAGGACTGCCCCTCTAGCCAGTTCCTAGAGAGAGTAAAGGACTTGCCTAGAAGCACACCTTTCTTATGCAAACCAACCAATCCAGGGCCCCTACCCAGCCCCCTCCTCTAAGCTCTTACAGGGGCCACTATCCCTCTGTCCTAATCACCCAGGGTCGGGTACCAGACAACCAGAGGCAGTCCCTATGCCCCAGAACCCACTGCAGTTTTCCCAAGCAGCCCATCCTAAACCTGCTTACCTCACCTCCCGTTCCTACCTCTGGGAACCACAATAAAGGCTCTTGCCTACTTTTTCCTCTCCTCGCTCTGCCTGCTGACAGACCCTGGTGCTTTCCTGGGCGCCCCTACGTGGTGTAGCCTCCTCTTGCAAACTGTGAGTAACAAACTTTTTTTTCAAAGGCAATTGTCTCTTGATCTGTTGGCCTCACCATATCTGAATAATAAAACCTACACTTTAAAACACATTCCTTAGGCATCGAATGCCAAATCAGAGGCTTATTCCCAGACTCCTGGGTATTTGGGGTTTCATGGAGGGGCCCACTAGGATTTAGGGGAACATGATGCAGATTTATTGTCTCCTTATACACTGGCTGCCACTTCTGTTCCAGAGAAGAAATTGAGAACTGTAGAGGGTGAGGGAGCTTGTTCGTGGGGAAAAAGGTGAATTTGAAGGGAGATGTCTTAAGTTCTAGTCCTGTGCTCAGGTTCCAGGGTACATCAGACCTTGTGCCTCTGAAAATAAGAGCGTTAGCAAGGAAACACTGGGATACAGCGAGGACGAGACCCCAGCCAGAGTCACGCTTATGGGTTCTTGAGTTATACCATGAACTTGCTAGCTTTGAGAGAAAGGAGACATTGCCTATTACGTACCATGTGATTTTCATGTATGATCTTGTTTATTTCCTTCAAGATCTTTATGGAGGGTATATAGTTACCCCCTTTCACAGTTGAGGAAACTGGAGTTCAGACAGAGCAAGAAACTTACTTAAGGTCACATACAGCAAATGACAGATGAGAGAGTTGGACCCTGGTCCTCACTCCAGCCTATGGTCTTTGAACTACACTATGCCGTTTTTAGGGCGTGAGGATCTTTACTTGTAAAAATACAGAGTTAGTCCAGATCAGTTTCCAAACCCTTAGCTCAGGCACAAGTGTTTCTGATTTGGTCCCAAGGTCTCTCAAACAGTTAAAAATAATTGGATAACCTTCCAACATTTCAAAGACTTCTCATAAAACTCCAGATTTCCATCTCCTCTTGAAAGACTGGAAGACCCAGCAAGTTCAGGAGCGGAGTAATGGTAGCCCCTCAGATGGTGCAGGTCATCTCTGGGTGGCCATGTTTTCCCATTTATGTCACT